CCAGTTTGCTGCCAGCTTGGATTTTCTAATTTTGATTTAAACACATGACTTATAATGACTTTGTTGGGTGGTGGGACTAAAGGATTTATGGTGCCCTTGTATGTGGGACTCTCTTCACTGTACGGCAACCCTGTCGTTTCTGTGACAGAGTCTGTTTGACTGGTGCTGGATTTATTATAGGCATAATTCAGAACAGAGTAATAATTTTCCCTTGGCAATTACACTACCATTTGGTACTTTGTCCCTAAGGGGAAAATGAATGTGCTGGGATCTGTCCATAAGTTCAGCAGCACAGTGTAAAGAACAAATCAAGGTCAGAATGCAGTTGAATGCACACTGATGTTTCATAATATAATCTAGATATGTTGCTTTTCTCTGACTCATTAAAAGCTCATGTAATTTAAAGATTATTTTTGATTGCTATGAGATTTTTAGCAGGAATTCTTTGTGAGAGATATTTCATTACCATGTTCAGTACTTTCTTTTTGTCTTCATTGTCTTTTTTCCCTGTAGCAATGACCACCCTGGCAACTTCTTAAGTGTTAGCAGAACAGTACCTTGCTAAGGGTTAGTGCTTATGGTATTATATGATATCATAAGCTACTTAATCAGAATCACAGATTTGGTCAGGTTGGAAGGGACTGCAGTGGGTCATCTGGTCCAATCTCCCTGATTAAGCAGGGTCATTCTAGAGCACATACCTAGAAAAATCGTGTGACTATTTCAGACCAGACAGGAGATTGGATAGTAGACATAAGATCACAATATTTCTGCAGTGTTTATGTTTGTTACCTGGTTTTGGTACAGCCCATAATCAGTTATTCCCCAAATGACAGACAATACTTCAATTTTCCTCCGAGATGGCTAAGCTAGAAAAGAACCTTGCCTCTTACCCCTGCCTCTCATGCATTTGGACTTTGACAGGCAATATCTGATAGTAATTTTGCTGGACTTAAGGATAGCAATATGATTGATGGCTAAAACGACACAAGAAAAATAAGGATTTCTGTCACTGACCTTCCAAGTGACATTGTTGGAAGAGAGAGTAATAAATCAAGCTGCATGTGTAGAGTATGTACTAAACTTGTGTTATACTCTGCAGTACCTATGAGCGAACATTTCCCATCAGTTTTATGACAGGGAAATTATTTTGCATTTTTATCTTTGATGGAAGGGTTGCTACTCTTGCTCTTTTAATTATTGTTATGATAATTGTTAAACATTTCCATTTAACATATCTACAGGTCTGTGTTTTCCCATCAGAGTTTACAGAGGTATTCAAAACAGACTCATTCTCTCTTCTGCCTTCTTCCCTCATTTTGGTTATTGTCTTGCTCCCTAAATGGCACCAGTGATTTCATTTAGCAGTTGTTGGCTGGTGACGTGTTTCTAGCAAGTCCTGTGGCACTCGTGAGTCTTCGACCATTCCTTCCTACTTTGCTGGATGCAAAAATTTTGCTTTTGCTGACCAGATTCTCTGTAACTGTCTTTGAACATAGTTCTTCTAGGCTAGTGAAGGAGAATCCCAGAAACATGCCAGCCCCCCTTGGCTGGTTTGCCACTGTTCAGGTGAGCCAGTGCATCTTGCTGAATGCAGTATTCCCTTGGAAAAAGAAGTCTCAAAGTCACTCTTAGCACTGGACAAGCTTTTAGTATAAGGTAAACAAATATGATTGTACTGAAATACAAGGCTTAAGAAACCAGCTGCTGTACTTTGTGAAGATGCAGAATACTAGAGCTTAGGCTGCCCCACACACAGTCTGCTTTGTCTAGGTTCTGTCTTCTGTGGACCTGGTTGTCGTAGTAGTCATGCTACCTTCCAGGACACTTTGCACAGGTCCTAGATCTGTGATCTGGATTGTAAGGTTTCTTATACATTTTTATGGTTCGTGGTTTATCTCTTTTATGGTTTAGGGTGAGAGTTTCTCCTTATATCCTTTTTTCTCAACTATGGATGCCAAAAATTAGCAACCTTAGTATTTGGCCTTACTCTTACTAAACTCTTCCCCTTTTTTTTTTGTTTTGTTTTGTGAATGAAAATGCTTCTCAAGCTTTTTAAGCTGTAGTATGCCGTTAGTATTTTATAACATGTACCTTATATACGAGATTTTATACAAAATGGTAAAACAATGAATATACTTATCATTAACTCTTGACAAGCTATTTAATGCCAGTTAATCTGGGAGCACAGTGACTTTGGAATAAGAAGTTCATAAACATGACTTAGTAGCTGAGGGTAAAAGAATAGGGCTATCATGTTTTTCTGTAGGCATCTATACAATAAAATAGTGTGGAATATAAAGAACATTCTGCCAAGGTAAAGTTCCAGAAGCACTTCTGTCTTCTCCAGGAAAGTGCTTCTTTCTTACTTACCGCTGTAGGAGGATTTTAGATATGTTGCTGCTCAAGTTCCCTTAGAGGTCCAGCTCATCATCTGTACTTGAAGCACATCTGCCGAACATGTGCTGACAGAGAGTTTAACATTGATTTTAGCAGTCATAACCACTTTCCCTCAAAATCATGATCTGAAGTGATTAATTTGTTGTCATTTATATAATAATGCCATCCCCCAAGGACCTTCCCTCATCTCCATTCATCTCTTGGGACTGATTTGTTGATGTGTGTGGATGGGTGATTTTTATGATACTGTGCATAAGCTCTTCAAGGGTCATACCCAGAAAGAGTAAGAGATTCAGTGGTAAATAGGAAAAACTCAGACTTTGTTGTAGTCTGGTTTTGTAAGTTGCACTGATACTCTTAGGGAAACAATAGGACACGTGGGGGCCAGAGGGTGGACAGGCAGAATTGAATGGGCTGATAAATGTGGAAGTTAGAAACAGTGAGTGATGAGAGTAGCAGCTTCTGTTGTGAACAGGATTAGTATCATCAGCCAAGAGTCATGATTCTGAAACTCATTAGGAAGCTCCAAGAGATCAGGACTAAGAGATCAATCTCTCAGAGTTCACTTCTTATGGGTCTTTGTGAAGAAGTTAAGCTTAAAAAGAAATAATCTGTTTGTTTTGCAGTGGTGATTTCCCTTTTGTGCTTAGCATAGATAGATTTAATTTTGGAACATGAACTTAAATGTCCATTAGTGCAGCTATAATAAACATTAATCTGTTTATTCCTTAAGAAGCATGTTTCCTAGAGCCATTCCTTTTGTTCCTTTCTCCACACTCTCTCTTGTCAATCAAATTATCAGCAACAATAATCACAAATCCCATTAGGAACTAATTATATATATGCAACTTCAAGCTAGGTTACCTCTTCGCTAACATTATCTCCAAGATTTTTTACTGCAGTCAGTCCAGCATGCTTCTGGTTCCATTAATTATGTTTACAAACCTTTACAAAGTGTTAAGACCTGGAACTCATCTTAATGATACTCTGCTGCTTCAGAAATAAGAAAGACCTATAAAATGCAGTAACCTTCTGTCTTCAGATGCATTGAACTTTGTCCACCACTCTGATTTCATATCTGCTCAGTTCCTGAGTGACACAGTGAGCTCCCCAAATTATCTTGTTTTTCTTGCTTGAGTATGTGCTGTAACCAGCATTGAAAATAGAGCTGGCAAAAAGTGGATGAAGATAACATGAAGCAGACTGGAGGGTGGGTCATCCTAATGACATGGGATAGATACTTTTGAAAACTGTTACATGAACTCACTTCTTTCCTGAGAAAATTAAGAGAATAGAGTGTAATTCTTCCAGCAGAGACTATGGAAAACAAGGCTTGCGAGACATGATCCACCTTGCAAGGAAACAGTCTATTTCAAATATTTCAGCAAGGTAGTTTTTATATTGTTACAACTGAGATAAAAACTTATATCAACATGTATGTATTGGTTAATTTCTATAATAGTGTGTACTTTTATTTCTTTGCTACATGCATACATTTCTTCCCCAGACATTGATGGAAATTAAGGGAACATTTGCAACTAAGGAGAAGAACTAGTCTATGAAGCTATATCACACTGTAACCTATGTTAAATTGAAGTTTGTAGAATCCACCTTGCTGATTTTAAGTGTTTAATGAACACCTAATAATCTCCTCTCTAGGCAGATACATAACTCATTTTGGATTTAAACACATATATCAGTCGAAGAGTGTGTGTATCTGAAAAGTTCACACCCACAGGGTTACACTTTGTTTCTGTAGTCTGGACAGTTAAGAAAAAATACTATTCTGAAAAAGAAAATGAGAGCAAAACCTTAAAGCTTGATGTTTTCTGTACTTAATTTTAAGAAGTGGTTTTTAAACGCCTTCATCTTTATTGCATTTTACTTGTAAAGCTCTTAATTTAAGAAGCATTCCCAAATCTCCCCTAAATTCTTTCCCTTGCAGGGAGAGCCCTTTTGTGATTGTAAGAGAATGGGACAAAACTCTAGCTGTTTTTATAAACACCTGAATAAACATAGTTTATGTGGAAAATGTTGTTAACATCCTTAGCCAAACCGATGTGACTGGATAAGTAATTCCAAAGTGATTTGAGGTGAATAGAAGACCAGGTAGCTTTAAAGGAGAAAGAAAAGTGTGAGGAGAAAAACTGTAAAACTGAAGATGAGTCTTCACCACTAGTTCTTTCCAATTGTCCATGGCCAGTAGAAATGTTCTCTGAAGCAAAATGCCTTGGGTTGTTGATTTTATGCAGACAGCTTTTATCTTACAAATCAGCAAAGCAGCACCTTCCTTTTTTTTTTTTTTCCCTTTAGAGTCAATTGCTTCTTTATTCATGTCTTTTATAGCCACAGGAATCCATACAAAGTAGGGATAAGTTGTCTAGTTTTCTTTCATGTGTGTTCATGCCTTGCTTCATCAAACCAATATGCTTGCACATGTTGGGAAAGACTGTGAGTTGCTGGTTTTTATAAGGTTGACTTTTAGGTCATTAAAATGTGATGAGTTTGTCATGTTTTTGTGCAATTTAATTTCATTTTTACTTCATCATGTCTCTTCTGAAAACCATTTGAATTTAATACTGACTTCTTTTATTGTGCAGAGCTGGTTATTTGCCTCAGAATATTCCTTTGGAGATTATCAGATACCTTTCAGAGGAAAAGGATTTTCTGCCTTGGCATGCTGCCAGCCGAGCTCTTTATCCTCTGGATAAATTGCTGGACCGCACAGAAAACTACAACATCTTCAATGTAAGGGATACTTTTTCCCCTCTCTCTCTTCATCCATCTGTCCATTCTTTCTTCTTTTTTTTTTTCTTCCTTTCTCCTCTCACTCTCTCATTGCCAAGACTTGAACTGCTTCTCAGTCAGATACTGTAAATGACCTAGGGATACTAGCTTTCTTCCTAATTATTCTTTACTTAAACACTGCAGTTATCAAACTTTGGTTCATTGGCATTTGAACAGTCATAACTGTTGTTTGAGCCATATATGATTAGTAGAAGGAAAGGTAATTGTCCCTCCTGTAAAATGTTATGACAAATAAAGTATTTCACTTCAAAGAGCCAAAGTATTCTATTTCCACATTTTCTCTTTTGAGGAGCTCCATGGTGATATTTACGTTTAGGTTGATGCCCAAGCCCAGCAAGAACACCAAATGCAGGCATAATTGAACAGAAGATGTGCAATGGAAGCAAAGATTTGTAGTCACTATTTCATCCATGGTGAATTCAATGCAGTTACCTTAATTAACAAGAATTAGATCACCATTGAGTCGAACGCCCATTCGTAATTGGATCTGAAGGGACAGCAGTAAGAGCTCACAGTAGATAATTAAGATAGACATGACAAATATTTTACCTGAAATAGTACAAGAATCATAGCTATGCTGAAGCATGGTTTATGAAGTACATAGGATTTGACTGCAATCAGTGACAATTATGAACTCTACGGGTTTTTATTCACTATGAATTTTATGCAGTCTCCATATTTTCCATGACCAAGATACGGCAATTTTATTTAATGTTGTAAAGCCTTCAAATGAAGGAGCTTTGTTAAGCCTGAAATACTTAAAGATGCTTTTTTCTTCTTAAACATGTATTTGTTTGTGTGTATGTGTGACCACAGACACCATGCCCAGAGAGAAGGAATTTAGAAGTGGCTGTATGTGTGCATATATATATAGAAGTACATGCTATATATATGTATGCAAACACACATATACACAGTTACCTGATGACACAGAAAATTATTTTTGTAGAACGTATACTACAGATTAATAAAGACACATTGAAATTTTTATGAACATAGAGCCTAGGCCTACATGCAAACCAGAGCCTTAATGTAAAATGATGTTGAAATGATCTGTGTACTTAGTCTGATGTTAACTGCGTAGAAAAAGTCTTAGGGGTCTGCCATTGCAATTTCACTTTTAAGTATGGTTGTGCAGAGAAAACACAATTTTTAATAAATATAATGAATAAAATTCACAGTCAGGTTATGTTTTATCACTACTGGTGAGAGTTTTGAAAGCAGAGGTGATAGCAGAGGAAATAAAAAGTCTTTTTAGTAACAGAATAGCGTATCTACTAGAGAAAGCTCCACTATGAATCTCCTTTTGTGTTGACGTCATATTTACATGCCCATACATATCTGCAGTAATAAAATAGATACTCTCCTATATGGTTCTGTATATCTCAGTTCTCTTTCAAATTGGCGAATTCTACTGGCAAAAAATTACGCTGAATGAAATCTCAGTGGGTTTTTTCAGATATGTCTCCTGTGTAAAAAGTGGAAGTCGCTAAAATAGATCTTGAGCTTGTTTTATTCTTTAAGTACACCAGGAACCTAAACTTAAAGCATAGTGTCATTAAGTGTACAAAGCTTATTTGCAACCACATTGTTATGTATTCTGAAGTCAATTGGCTGTACTCACATAACGTTTTTGCCATGGCTATGGATATTAAAACAATAGTCTTAAAAGTGAGCGTGCATGGTTTGGTCAAGATTGGCCATAGAGTAGAAATTAGTCTATTGACAGACTTGCAATTTTTCAGCCGAGTATTGTGAGTTCAAAGTAGCATGTAATAAAGATTTTAAGTTGATGGATTTTATAACATTAAATTATCTTATACTAAGCATCTAATCAATAGCTGTTCTACAGATTCTACTATAGTAGTGAAGGAGGATTATAAGTGGACAAGTTGCTTTGCTAAAGGCAATTCAAAATCTTTGGAGTCAGACAATATTTGAGGGCAAAAAGAGAGATAAAACCTTAATAGTAGTGTTTAAATTTCAAGTAAAAAACATTATTAACACTAAATATGTTTTTCTTCTTCCCCTCAGGAGTATATTTTAAGACAAGTTGCATCAATGTATCTCAAACTTGGATGGCCAATGAACAATTTAAACAAATCACTTGTTCAAGCATCATACCAACATGAGTACTGTTATATTTCCTTTTTTATTGTTTATTTGTGGAATATATTTGTAATAATGCACCCTCCTAAAATTTTGTGTCATCTTCAGCATATCATAATTCCCTAGCTCAGTCCCCCTTCTGTTTTTCCTTTCTGAGTTAGAGGGAGAGCGGAAAGATGCTGTGAGATGAATTCTTCTTTCCTAAGTTGAGAAAACATGATCTCCTAGGCCCTGACTTAATATCTTACTGCTCTGGATATTTAAGAACTTGGACTCATGTGACCACAGAGGTCAGGAAGAGTGCATAAGTGTAAATGGGGGCTGGTTTTGGTTCATGACTTTTCTTCAGTTGTTGCAGCAGCTGTAGGTATTAAGTTGACACTGAGCTTTGTATAGCCGGATTGTGTTTGTTATGTTGCCCAACTACTCGTTGCTGTCACTGTTACAAGATACAGCTTTTTGTAAATGTTCAAACACGTACTCGTTGCTGTCACTGTTACAAGATATAGCTTTTTGTAAATGTCCAAACACACTCATCATTGCTTTCTTTAATTTGAACAGAGAGTTGCGTCGGGAAGTCATCATGTTGGCCTGCAGCTTCGGTAACAAGCACTGTCACCAGCAGGCTGCAACGTTAATCTCGGATTGGATTTCTAGCAATAGGAATCGGTAAGCGGAACTAAAATATGAATCTTGCATATCTCCTACTGAGATGCAATACAGCTGGCATACTCTTCCTGTCCTGCCTGCCCCCATCTGCAGTGCCCTGTTTTGCAGAGTGGTATGGGAGGAAGCAGACATTGCTGTCTGTCATTTAAAATTTTTATATATGAGTGGGTAGAGTGGACATAAGTATATGGACATATATATGAGTGGGTGTAGTCTCTGTCCACTCCTGATAAATTGATGTCAAATAATTCCATGCTAGAAGGTGAGAAAATGGATTTTAAGGAGGGATTTAAAGGAAGAAAGATGAGTGAACACTGCATTGGCAGAGAAACATGGAACCTGTGTTAGGACAAGAGAGCAGAAGGTGCTAAGTGATTAAAGAAGTGAGAGAGATTAGAAGGAGAAGGATTGAGAGGTAAGGAAGGAGGTGTAACAATGTGTTTGAGGGAAATGTTGTGAAGTATTTAAGGATGAAGACTTGGTAATTAATGTGATTCAAGAATACATGGGAAAGCTCATGGAAGGTTTGAAAGAGAGGATAATACAATAGCTGATGTCTCGAGAATTAGTAGCACTGCAGTGGTTTTTAACAACAAATACGTAATTTAGGCTGCCCAGACACATGCGTATTCAGCTGAGGCAAGGGAACATGGGCTATGGATAGTGTATGAGGTTTATCTTTTAAAGGCAAGCGTCTAGAAGATACTAAATTGCTGAAAATACAAATTTTTAAATATGTCGTGGTCTACGGACAATGAGGTAAGTGCAGAGTATAGATTAAGACCACAACTTCTTGAGAAAGAACGGTGGATTTTCTGATTGTGTGGAACGTGGGTGTGGAAGTATTTGTATTATACCCATTTGTACATTGCATGATGTACAATTTTGGTTTAAAGGAAAGTATTTTACTTTCAAATAACAAAGAAAAAGTCTTTCATTTTCAGTCCCGGTCTTGTATTAGCTCTGCAGAAGGATCAGATTTCTATAGCTATAAAAGCATGTAGGATTTTTCAAAGACATCTTTGGCTAATCAGGTGTTTGTTTGCAATTAAAATATCTGTCTGTCTTTGTAATCTTTAAAAATCCTTTATAGGCATTCCCAGTTACATAAGTATCTGAGAGTCATTTCAAACCAGCCATGAACTGAGCATGAAAGGAAACTGCATTCCTATAAGACTTTGAAACTTCCAGAAGAAAAATTAGGTTGAAGCTATGACTATGAAATATATACCCCAGCATTTTATATGAATTCTTATCATTGGCAGCAACTATCAGTATGACATGATTCAAAGAGGCAATTAAAGAGAAAGAATCATTGGGAACAGTCTGCAAAAGTAATTTACTCAGATATTCATTTGCAAAATTAGTTACTCAAACCTAGCATTACTTATTAGCATGCACAGCAGTAGATTTTTCAGTGTTAAAAAGCTGTCACCCTGCAAAGCTACCTACCTGGTGTCTTCATACTTTCCAACAGGATTGAGGAAGGACACATCAGAAAAAAAACCACAACAAAACACAAACTTACTGCTTTACTACTAGTAGCAAGAGAGGAAAGGAATAAATTTAAGGAGCCATCTGAAGATTCACCTTAACCTTTCAATGGGGTTCTTCTTGGTAGCAGAAGATTGTGGCTGCCAGTATATGATGAGTATTATGATAAAAGCACCACAGCAGGGCAGAGGAAAAGAAGAACTACTAAGTTAAAGCAGTGCATTTCTCTAAAGGAACTGTGCAGTTTTGAAAAATAGCTGCAACACATAATGTAGTTACAGAATAGAGATTGACAGTCAGCTGATAAATAGAGGCACAACTTGAAAAGGAGACGTGCCTTTATTTATTTCTTAAGTTTGTAAGATTTGTTCAATCTGCCACTCCAGAATCTGCCAGTTGCTCTTCTCAGAGTACTCTCACATCCTGAATTTAACTAATATATGAGCAAGACTCATTTCCTGTCTACTTACATTGAAACAACATTGCAAAGACTACTAGTAATAGCAGCTCAGGAGACATAAAATCAGCTTGTGTGTCACAGTAACAGCATTTGTAGGGATATGTCAATGTTCTCTCAGGAATGTTCAGATCCCTGCTCAATCAGAGGTACCCTATAGCACCTTTCCTCAGTTTAAACCAACTCAGACTGAAATCTGAAAATAAAGGAGAGGCTGTTTACCCTGCTTTTCCACCAAGAAAACAGTGATGATTCTACATTTGGAATTTAACCAGTATGGTGTTTGAGTCATGCTTCTGCCTCTTAGCACTTCAGAGACAATAGCTAGCTCAAGTACAAAGGGCAAGCAGATAAGTACAAGATACATGCAGAGAGCACATCCAACAGTTGCCATTTTGTGTTCTTTCTCATCAATCAAGTGTTTTGCTCAGTTCACTGCCCTTAACAGCTGTTTGTGAATTTGCTGCAAATAGCCACATAGAACCTGTAGGAATCCCTCAGAGCTTGTTTCCTCACAAAGAAGGGGAAACTCATGTTAATCATCTTTCTCCAGATTTCTCTGACAACTGATGAGAATAGCTGGTGACAAGTACAGAAGCTGTATGTTTTCTTGTCTGTTCCACTCCTTACTAGCAATGAGTAAAGCTGTATCTGCTGAAAACTACTGTAAAAGTTCTTGTGCTGCCCTTCCCACTTCTGAAACAGAACCAAGTGATTGACTGATGCATTGCAGAAACCCTGGTGTTGGTGAATTTGCAGAGCACAAAAACAGAGCCTGAGAGCTCAGATATATTTTTAGATACAGATATAATTTGAATTTGACTATGAGAGTAAAAATAAAGGCAAATTTGTAACCTTTCCACCTATCCCCTCCCAGAAAAACTTACTCTGAAGTTGAGATGTTTCATCTAGTGAGCTAATTCACAAGCAGCACATGGAAGGACCACAAGTTCTTCAAAGCAGTAGAGTCTATGGAATTAGGCTTGTGTCCCAAGATTCTAATAAATAGAAAATTAGGGTAATATTAAATTAAAATGTGGTATTAAATACCACATAAATGCACAGGCAGTAAATCATGTAAAGGAGTTTGTTTTCATTGAATAGCAGTTGCTGCAGTTAAAGTTCAAATAAGCATAAGAGAGATTATGCAATTAATAATACTGAAGAAATGCTAAGATTAATAATTTTCTATCCCCATTTTTACTCTATGGCTTTTTAGAAATTCTTTTGAAATGTTTTTTTCTGTTTTACTTCTAGCATTTAATTATGGATAAAGTGTCAGGTAATAAACAAATACAGTAACATCTAACTCTGTTTTACCAGCTTACAGTTGCTGTGGTTTTTAGCAATTATATTTAATCTGGTAGGTCCAGAAATTAATTACCATCTACTCTTCAATGTAGGGAATTGAAATAATCATAATAATCAGACACTGTACTTAGTGATTATATGTTCTTTATTTACTGTGCAAATAATTTGCCACTGTTCACCAAGTAAAATAATGGTCATTCATAGCATAAAACCGGAGGTCCTGTTTATGTTTCAATCACTGTTGAAAAAGCCATTAGATTTCCAACTCTAGCACTGCAGATTTTCTTATGGAATTAATGAAAAAAACCACCTTACATGTGATCTGCAATATTAGCCTCATTGCGTGAAAGTGTAAGTCAGCTGAGAGGCTTTGGAGGCTTGAATATCTAAAGTGACTTAGGTGTTGAAGTTCTTCATTTTTAGATGCCTCGCTCCCAGGGCAGAATCAGATGCTCAGAGTTACACTTCCTACAAGGGGATTTGGGAATCTGTAAATGAAGTCGGTGGCAGCCACTCTGCTGAGTGAGAAGCCTCTTAACATGAGATTTTGAAGCAAAAGTAGGCCCTTTTGGGGTCCAGCACTACAGGTAGAAAGATACCTATATCGAATACAGAAATGATGATCATAGAGTATAGGGTCCTTGCAAAAGTGTCACTAAAGCAGGAAAAGGTCTGCTCCTTTTCTTTTCAAACTCAGCTGGCAGAGAAGCTGCTCTTCAATCCCAGTTTAAACACTAGTGCTGTGCTTGTAGCAGTTTGCTGTGTTTGAGTTTGGTACCTCAGTTCTGTATCCGCCACATGCAGAAAGCAGTTCTGATGATCTGTCTGTGAGGTGTTTGGGACAGTATTAAGACACTACACACACTTTCCTCCTCTAGTTGAAGCTCAGCCACTGGAATTTATTTCATTAGCAAGAGAAATGATACAGCTCTCCAGCCTAAAGGTGAGAGCATTCATCAGAGGGAGAGAGGCTTCAGTACCTGAAATACCAGGATTAGTATGCAAATTAGTATGCATACCAGGATAGTATTTAGGTGGTATTGCTCACTACCACTTATTCAGGGCAAAGCACAATGGATATAACAAGGAACATAACTGAAAAAGAAACTTGGCTCTACAGGGAGCAAACCAAACACATAGCTTCACAAGTAGAAGAGGCTATAAGGAGACATCTGGTTTTACTGGTTCAGGAATTGATATGTTTTAATCCTTGCAATTATTAAAAGAAGAGTGATTATTTCTCTTCACTAAAGATCTGAGATTAGACTTCAAGGTGTGTCTTACAGTCATTTTAATCAATGAATTAAAGTAATTTTACTTTTTTTAATGGCTGATGGGTCCAGCACATTTTGTTTGAAAGTCTGTATTTGTTTCTGACTTGATGGTTGATATGAAGACAAACATTTTGACTCTCTTAAATTTGCTGCTCCTGTACTGGAGCAATGGAAACCCTTGAAACTTTCATGCTGATGTTCAGAAGAATGCAAACAGAGCAGAAAACATATAACCATGTTGAAATTTCCCTTGTAGTCTGAAAATGTAAGGTTACTGGGATTCTGTCAACAGCAGTATGCTCCTGTACAGTAGAAGCTACTGTTGACTGAAAATTAAGATATTTTCTTCTACCTTCATTTAACTGAGCTCATCCCCGTGAAGCTTTCATGTGTGAAGAAATGCATTATTCACAGTCCTTAGATAGAGCAGCATTGTGGTTCAGCCTAAAAAATTAACAAAATTA